AATGTGAAGAGAAAGTTGAGTGTTTGAAGTCCTTGCACATAGAGGACATTTCCTTCCTTCCTGAATAAAGCTGCTTAAATGGTGCTGGTCACAGGGGCGGCTCAGAGCAGCGTGGAGCAGGAGAAGAGCAGCCTGTACAGCAGCAGCAGCCTCCTGAGCCTGACTGAGGACAGCTGGCTGCAGGGACAGCTGTTCTCCTGTAGGGTGCACCACCACGGACACGTCCACGTCCAGTCACTGCACAAGAGCCACTGCTTAGAGCTGCATGGGCCCTGAACACGGAGCATCCCACAGCTGCAGTAAGACTCAGATGTAGAGTGTGACTTTTGCTCAGTGCACAGGCTGAATAAAACATGTTCCATGACAACAAGTGCTCTGTCTTTTGTTCTATGAGCTCCAGCAAATGGGACGTCTCTCTGCTTATTTCAAGTATTCATGTCTGTACATTACACTTCACAAAAATATAACAATAATATTGACAATAAATAGAGCCACAAGCAGCAATGATGGGCCGCTGCCTCAGTTTCCCTCTTTACGTGAGTCCCACTGTCGACTGTGAGACACAATCACACCTTCTCTTCCTCTTTGCTACACTAATGGAGGCGTTTTTACAAGATAAAAAGTTTCAGGCAAAGTGTGCGACAGCACCACAGGAAGAAGATTAACAATGTCCCTACTCCTCTAGATCATTTTCACCAAACTTGAGCTCATTCTGACAAATGCCGGAGGAGTTCATCAAACTGTATTTGTAAAAAAACAAAAAAACAAAACTAAACTAAACAAAACCCAGAGAATTTGTGATCATTGTATCTTTGATATAAACATGGGATTTTTGGTCTTCACGACAGCATCAATACAGAGTGTCACTGACTTGATTTATAAACTGCTCATTTGACACTATTATATTATTAATATTATTATTTAATAATTCTATTATGAATTATACAAATGATTATATTGTTAAATGATGGTTTCATCTGGATAATACTATACAGTTTATTATGAAATACCAAAGGAGCGAAAACACATCCATGTGGTTCAGAGCAAAGACATTTATTTTTGTATTTCTTTATTTGTTAAATTCATTAAAGTCACAATAAAATAAACCTGCCTTTGACTTTCCCAGAGGCGCTCTGCAGGCTGATCCCAGTGACTGTGTCAGTGGTGGGAACACTGCAGTGTGCTCAGTGTGTGGGACACTGGACTCTGGGAGCCCTGGCTGGCCTCACAGCTCACAGCCACGCCCCCCTCCCTCCACTGCTGTGCGGGGAGCGTCAGGCTGCTGCTCCAGCTGTAGTGGCCGTCCTTTTGCGGCACCGCGGGGCTCCGGCTCTGCTCCCCGCCCGCACCGCCACCGGACACCTTCCAGGACACGCTCCAGTCTGACGGGAAGCCCTTGTTGGCCAGGCACACGAGGGTGGCCTTCCCCTGGGCCAGCTCCTCTCTGGAGGGGGGCAGCACCCAGAGGCTGGGCTCCACTCGGCCCACTGTGGACACACACACACAAACACACACTTACACACACTGTGAAGGGCAGATTTTTCATCATAATTGGTTGACAATATGTAAGTTTTAAAGATGTAAGGAACCCAAGGCATTCACTGGTTACAATAAAATGCCTTTATTAATTTACTGCAGATCTTAATGGACAACTTCCAAAGTCTATGGTTTTCCTCAAGGAAAACTGACGTTCTCTTCCCCAAAGAAGGACCACTGATCCATGAAACGCTCCTTTTGAATCTTTTTTAGAATATGTACATTTTTTTTCCCCATGGAATTATCCAGATAAAAACAAAAGGTAATATTTGTTGGCATTAAATTAAAATCTGTGGAACGTTATAATAATAACATTCATAATTCTGTGGAACATTCCAAATAACATCTTCACAGTATTCAGGTGGTGAACCTCACACCAGTAATCTCGGACTCTAATTATTTTCCAAAAAAAAACTTAAATGCAAGTCAAAATACTTACAATACTACTAAATACTAATTAGTACTTTTTTTTTTTTTTTTTTCTCTCACAGCAAAAGTCACTTTTAGCCTGAACTGAGTGAAAACAGAACTGAGAGGCTCCACTGAAGCTGAACAACAGAACAGTTTCAGAGCTAAAGATAAACTAAAAAGTTGAAGTTTAGGTTGGTCATAAAGAAAATATTTTTATATTCTTCTTTACATTCTTTTTTTCTTTTTTAAAATATCAACATTAACAAATAAATACAATTATGTTCAATTATGATATACAATTTTAAACCTTTACTTATATCAGTTAGATTAAAAAAAAATATATATTTACAAATGTAATTAAAATCCAGAATGCCATATTAAAATACTAAAATTATAAAATTCAAAAAGTCTGATTGTGAATAAAATATTTCTGTATAAATTGAGGTGAGTGACTGTGGGGATGATAAGAAGACACTGCTCACCCAGAACTCCAAACAGTATTTAGAATAAAACAGAAAACAATCAAATGATGTCAGGCTTCAGAAATAGAAACAGATGAATCACAAACTAAACCAAAGTGTCATTTAAAGTGAACATAAAGAGATGACTTACAGTTGAGCTCCAGTCTGGTTCCTCCACCGAACGTGAGCCACAGTGATACAAACTCATGGAGTGGTCGTACAAAAACCTGCAGCCGCTCAGAGAACACCACAAAACCATTCAGCTGTACAGAGACTGATAAACAACTGACAAACAGCTCACATTTACACATTTAAACTGAAAAACACTGTTCAGAAGGAGATGACAATGTTTTTATTCAGAAAGAGGTGGACTTAGTTTTTTTTTCTTAATAAAAAGTAAAATAAAGAAAAGTGACAATATTTTATGAATTGATTCATGAATTGATGAAATGATTTAAAATCAAATGCTTCAAGATACTAACCAAGTAAATATCAATATATCAAATATCAGCATCAAATTTAAAAAAAGACAGACAAGGAAATAACCTTTTACAATTCTGCATTAAATTTTAAAATACACCAGGAACCAATATGGGTCTAATTCTGCTGACACAGCCCCTGCAGCTGTTCAGTGTGCTCCATGTCTGTGTGGGAGCCTCATTTCCATAGACAAACACTTTGCATGAACAGCTGCATGGTCCAGTGGGACACTTTATAGTCCTGAGAGGTGCACTCTGGAGCACTGGCAGCTGTCCTTCATGACAACACAAGCCACATACGGCCTCCTCATCACCAACATGACTTTGGTGTGCGTCCTCATGTGGACTGTCCTCTGCTGCTGCTTCACAGGTAAAGTCCAGAAAGTCCCACTGCTGTCCTCTGTCCACATCCGTCCCTCTGAGACCAACCAGACTAAACCATCAGGTGCTTTGTGTTTGTGTGTTCAGAGTCCAGAGGACAGGTGACAGTGAGTCAGGCTGGAGCAGTGAGGGCCGCCCTGGGGGACACCGTCAACATAGACTGTAATCTCAGTCAGGATCTGTACAAGTTTAAGGGAGACATCTACGTTCTGTCCTGGTACCAACACAGAGATGGAGAGCCTCCTAAAGCTCTTATATATAGAATTTCTAATCGAACCTCAGGTGTCCCCAGTCGTTTTTCAGGCAGTGGATCTGGGTCTCACTTCACTCTGACCATCAGTGGAGTTCAGCCTGAAGACTCTGCTGTGTATTACTGTCAGAGTGAACACTACATCAACAGTCAGAATGTGTTTCACACAGTGAAAAAGACTCGTACAAAAACCTTCTCAGACTGAAGTGAAACTGAACTGAGCTGTGGCGGTGCTTCCTTCATCGTGTGTTTATGTAGAAAACACATGACACCAACTGAAAATTGAAAATTCAGACTTATTGAGTCAGTATTTTATCTCAAACTGGTGTACACCACATTTCCTGATCAGACTAGTATTGATCTGACAATAACACATATTTACTTTCATTCACATTGATTAAAGTTTTCTGTCCTGTGATGGATTTCCATCAAACGAAGGCACTCGAGGTCAATCATGAGACTGATGCAGATCAGAGGAGAAAAAATAAGGGGTGTCCAATACATCGATCACGATCTACCAGTCGATTGCCAAGGTCGTGTGGGTAGATCATAGTGTCGTAGTATTTGTCATGCTAGCGCCTCGCTCCTCGCCTTTTCATGCTCTCACTCCTCCCCACATACAGCACACAGGCTCCATCTTTTCTGCGCCGATGAGAAGAGCAAGATGAAATGCGAAGCAAAAACAAATCTAAATGTATGTTACAGTGTTGGCACAGAGGAGCCTACAGCACAGAACAGACCTAACATGACATGTGGCTGAAGTTTGCTTAATAAAAGTGCACAGATGCATCTGTGTTTGTCACCATGTGCGTTTGGTTTGATAAATGTGCAGAGGCTGGAAAATCCCACTGCAAAACAAGTAAGAGAATGTAAAGGAAAGACTCAGAGTGTTTCAGTTCAGAACAGTTTGTTTGGCTTTGTAACAGGTCGATCATTTTGACTTGGTCATTTTAAAAGAAACTCACAAGCTGAAGCCCCTGACCTAGTCTCATTCACTTCACCAGATACACACACACACACACACACACACACACACACACACACACACACACACACACACACACACACACACACACACACACACACACACACACACACACACACACATATATATAAAGTTCATTACAGTTGAGATTTATTTTTGTTTACGGTGAGTTTGAATGAGGAAATAATGTTAAANATATAATGAGTTAAGCCCAGACTAAAAACTTTATTTATTACACAGATTTTATCATTAACAGAAAAAATAATAAATAAATAATAATGAATAAAATAAAATAAAATAAATACATTTGTAAAGTCATTCATTAAGTTAAAATAATGATTTTAACTTATGAATGAATCAAAGTCATGTTCTAAAGTCATGTTAGTGATAGTGTAGAATCAAACACTTTGTAGTGTCAAATTGATAAAAATGTGAAGACAAAGAACAAGTAAAAACAGGAGGAATATCTATGTGGAAATAAACATTTAACAACAGTATTTTGTTTTATAATTTAATGGTCACTTCAAAGTAATACTAAAAAGCATCTTAAAGTGTAATATTTAAAAGGACACAGTGTTGGTCTGCAGCTCTGTTCACTTCATCCTGATTTAAAGTCAGATTTTGATACTTGATTGAATGATTTATTCATTTAGAGTTACAAAAACATGAGAGAAAAAGAAAATATAATGGTAACACAACACAAATAAATGAATGTTTTGTGAGGAGGTTTGTAACTCACGTAAAAAAATAAGAACTCGTGGAGATCCAGGAACTTCATTTATCCATTTATTTTAAAGACCAAATAAAATCATTTTCTCCGTGGCTGACTTTCTTTTGTAAAATAATCACAACATAGTATCTTCTCCTCTCTCTGCTGGTACTGCCTTCCCCGCCCTGCTGCCACAGGCCACAAGATATACCTGACTGCAGGAGGAGGGGAGATCAGGATTACCTAGAATCAAAATTCTATAATTAAGAAAAATACATTTAAATTGATAGGTTCACCTTTACCATACTCATATTCAACAAGAGAGAAGACAAGAGATTAATATCTTTTACACGCGTGGAGGGAGTACCGAGAGAAGAACTCTAGTTACATGAAACTAGCTGTTTCACCCAATACTCTCTAAAGCCTTCTCTTTCCCACGCCTTTTTTGAAAATTAGACCCCTAGTTACACTGGAACTCCTCTCAGGCGGAGGAACAGCAAAACATTAACATTAAGAGTATTCTCTTTGCTTACAGGAAACACAAAAATAACACTTCAACAGTATCAGCCGAGTTAAGGTCAGTCTGTCCTCCTCATTTTTCCAGTGTATCATCACATGTGCTGCAGCAACATTAAAGGAGTCTGAATAAATGTATGCTATGGTAGCTTTTACAGGTCCTGCTCTTTGCAAGTTTTGAAAATAAATTGGATCAGGTCCAGGTGTCTTTTTGAACCAGGTTGTCACATGTAAAGCATTTTCAGGCATTACACTTTGGTACTGTGGAACGGAATTTTTTGCTTCCTGTACTAAAGCTGATGCTGTTCTGCCTGCGTCATTATTAGATAATGAGAGTCCGTACCAGTACCTGGGCTGTTTACGGCCCTGTATCACATGTACATCTTTTGTTTGTATTTCTTGCATTCTTTTCACCTGAATGTTTCCTGCATCATCTGGAATTAGGACTAATTCTAGAGCTGCCAATGCATCACGGCCCAACAGGTTTAGTGGGCATTCAGGAAAGTATAGTACAGCTAGTTTAATTGACTTTCCTTTAGGGTCTGTTATAGTTACTGGTTGCGTCAATGAAACATGAGTGACCTCACCGTTTGCCGCCCTCACTGTCACTGTCTCCTTACTTTTCACCATATGTGGGATTTTTGTGTTTATTGTGGTTTTACAGGCGCCAGTATCACACAAAAAAGAAGTTTGTACCCCATTCAATATCAGTGTAATACTTGGCAGAGCCTGTCCAAATCCTAACGCTGCCTGCAAGTCAACCTGTATTTCTCCTTCCACCTCTTTATCTTTGTCATAAGCCTGTTTATTTGCCATTACCAAATCTTCTTCAGTCCACTCATAGTCCCCTGGGTCCGGAAATAGGTCTGGTGTGTCGTCATCGTCGTCCACCCAGTAACCCCCCGGCTCCCGGCCTAGTCATGCTGCCGTCCCCTGTGATTTGTCATAATCCTGTCCTTTTGTCTGATTTCCTCTCCACTGTGGACACTGTCTCTTCCAGTGACCTATCTGCCCACATACCCAGCATTTGTCTCTGTCCTCTGGGTTATCAACAGTAGTAGGGTTTGGTCTTTGATTCACATAGCCTCCTCTGCCTCTCCCCCTACCTCTGTTCCTCCCTCTCTGACTTCTTCCCCTGTTCTCACTGTAACATATTTGTGCACCCTCCAGGGTGAAAATCTTACTCTCCTTCTCCTTTTTCTGCTTATTTCTCATCACTTTATCAGCATGCATTGCATTATCAATGTATTGATCCAATGTGCCTGTTGCGAAATTTATATAATGTTTGTCAATCCAATTTCTAATCCCCGTGACAGTGTTGGCATGCAGAGCATTTTTTAACTGCTGTCTGTATGCACAATTATCATCTCCTTCTACATCCTGAAGTCCGCTATGCGTTTTAAATACCTTTGTTAGTCTATGTCTAAATTCTTCAAAACTTTCATCATCTCTTTGCTTTGTTCTATTAATCTCCATATAATTTGCTCTCCTAGCAAACCTGTTCTGGATTCTTTGTCTTAAGCGCTCCAACCCTGTTAAAAGCTGAGGCTCATTATGCGGCATTATCACTTGGTTTGGCGCTGCACCAGTCATGTAGGTCCAGTCCCCCTTAACCGATGCCCAGTGATGTCCTAAAGCTTTTCTATACACCCTTTCTACCTCCTGCCCATTTAAATTATATGAGCTTCTCAGTTGGTCCATAGCTTCCAAAAATTCTATGACGTCTTCATTTACTGGAGTAATCCCCTTTAAAGCGTCATCTATGTCTCTATCTGTCCAGGGCCTATGTACCAAAATAGTCTCTGGGTGATTTCCTTCTTCTGGATCATTAGGGTTAATTAATTGCCCCCCCCTTGGGTTAGCGACCTGGATCATTGGGTATGACCCTGCCGGCTCTTCTAATTTCTGTGTGGCCTCTGGCATAGTTGGAGCAGTGGGAGTAATGAACTCTGGATTTTGTACTTGCACTGTTTCTCTGACGTTTTTAATAATAATTGCAGGTACTTCACCCATCTTTTTACTGAATTCAATTTGTATACCCTCACTCTTGGTCTGGTGTCTGGTTTTTACTCTCGGGCCTTGCTCTACATCCTCGTTGTAAGTAGGCACCTGTGGGTATATTCTGTATGGGGGAGGTTCTTCCTCTTCTTCCTGTGCTGCTCCTAAACCCTCTGTAGACTGCAATACCGGCGGGTGCCGCTCTGATTGCTCTACTGGCGTTGCCACTACAGTAGCCAAATCCTCCTCCTCTTTTGCACTAAGCATCATTTGTTGTCTCTTTTTAGCTTCTGTACGGCCCTTTTCTCTTGCCATTGCCAAGTCTAGCCATTTCTCTAAATGATAGTAACCATGTTTACACATTTCTGCTTCTTTATTTTTACATTTTTCTTGTATTTGACGTTGGAGTTCAATTATTTTTGAAGATTTTAACTCTCCCTCAAACTTATACTTTGTTATCCACAAATCTAATTTAGTACATTTTTCGGGATATTTTGCGTGCACGGCTTTCCAGTCTTTTATCTGCAGTTTATCTTTTGGAGTCGACTTTGTATTTTTATTTCCCATTTTATTTACTGAATTTAGTCCAGCTGTCCCACTCCTAGGGAGGTCTCTATAGCTGGGATGTGATAGGTTGGTGCGGTGATTTAATGTGGTATTCCTCACTTCAACCTAGCAGTGTAGGTAGAGGAATCTTGCCTGTGCATCCACAGAAATTCACCACAACAAAAAAAATCCAACCTTATTGGTATGAGACTCTTCACCTAGTGGCTTAGAATCTCCATTTACACTTCACACACACACACTTTTTTTTTTTTTTTTTTCTTTACGTGTCTTACTGTCACAGTTTTTTAGGAGTCTGCTCTCCTACCACGGGCTTTTGTATCTGCCAGTAAAATATCACTTATTTTACCCGATAGCGGGACTCCGCGTCCCTTTACTTTTACCTAATTGGAGCCTAGGATAATTAGGGTTTCTCTACGCGCATGACCCTCAGTCACACCGTTCTTTTTAAAGTAAGACCTACTCACTGTTGTCTGTTGTCTCTCTCTCTCGGTAACCCGTCAACCATCAGACCCCAACCAAGCCATAGAGCCAGTCCCGGAAAAGGTCTTCAAAGCTGTGCACAGTCTTTCCTGGGTCTACCACTCCGCTGGAGTCCTCAGGTGTATTGGTTTCCGGCTCGATAGGACCAAGTTGATAGGTTCACCTTTACCTATACTCAATATTCAACAAGAGAGAAGACAAGAGATTAATATCTTTTACACGCGTGGAGGGAGTAACCGAGAGAAGAACTCTAGTTACATGAAACTAGCTGTTATTCACCCCAATACTCTCTAAAGCCTTCTCTCGTTTCTCCACGCCTTTTATTGAAAATTAGGACCCCTAGTTACACTGGGAACTACTCCTCTCAGAGCGGGAGGGGGAACATGCAAAACATTAAACATTAAAGGAGTAGTTCCTCTTTGCTTACAGGAAAACACAAAAATAACACTTCAATACAGTATTCAGGCCAGAGTTAAGGTCAGTCTGCCCTCCTCATTTCATCCTCCTTAGTTTTATCCTCCTCAAGCAATGGTCGCCCAAGATGTTTCCTGTTATTGAATTTGATAGGACTTCGTGACCTTCTGCAAACACATGAAATCTGCAATACTCAGAAACAGAATCGTTTAAGTGCACATATTGATATATTGATTACAATATGATTGAATAACAAAAGTGAAGATTACATTACCATTACACACACAGTGAGATTAATATAAATGTTGAATCCATCAAATATTATCAAATTCATCAAATTAATCGTTTCTTAAATAAATATAAACTGGCTCCAACAATGAACATCACTTTTTTGATTTGTTTTAGTCCAACATCAACACAGAATATTCATGATTAAGCCACATTTACAATCTTTATACAATTTATGTTTAGATTCTGTTAATTATCAGTATATTTCTGTCCTTGTCCTGTTCACAGTGACTCACTTTTGGTCAGGACTCAAAAGCTGAAAAAGTCTCAGAGTCAAACTCTTGTTTTCATTTCTACATTCAAATGAAACATATTGTCTTCATAATATTGAGAAGGACAAAACACATCCCTGTGGTCCACAGCAAACACATTTATTCACATCACTTGAGTTTCTATTTAGTTGTTCCCCTAAAGTCACAGTGAGTTCAAAATGTGATCTTTAGTCACACTTTTCATGTGTTCATTATTTATAATGTCGTGTCTTTGCTTTGGATCAGAACCTGGGTTCTTTCTTTTCTGTGCTTCTGTACCAGGAAATATCAAATGAAACATATTTAAGATTAGCCTTTCTCCATTTCAGGGTCTAGTCAAAGGGTCAAAGGTCACTGTGTGAGTTTGGATATGAGTGCCGCCTCTGCCCCAGCTCTGCTCTCTGTACTGGTCAGTAATGGTCAAAATCAGAATCTTGATTCATGAGCACACAAACAGTTTGGTGGAGTTTGCTTGTTAAGTGAAAAAGCCCAGCTCCCTTTGCTCTTAGTCTTCACCTTCACTCCTAAACCCTTTCACCTCTCCTCTCCTCCCCACTTATTAGTTTATTAGTTTATTTGTAGTTTGGCCAGTAGATGGCGCCAAAAAATAGAGCTGAGCCGGTGTGTTGCTCTTTTCACTGAGCCCAGGTGCACAGGCCACAAACCAAACTCAGGAATGTGAAGGGAAAACACAAAGACACCGGTAAAGACATTTCCCTGCAATATTAGTTTTTAAGTATAGTTAAAATAGTAAAAATGGTGTCAAGACCCGAAGGACACAATAGTGTAAAAACTATCTGTTTTTATTTATAAGTAAAGTGAGGATTCTGTTTAATTTAAGTAGCACAATGAGAAGCCTTAGTTAGATTAGTTAGATTGTAAATGCAGTTGGCTGATTGATTTTATGAAATGTCCAAATTTAAGTTAACAGTAAATTAGAAAAAAAAAAAAAAGTAATTTCAGTTTCAATTCAGTCAACTTAATAAGTGAATCAAATTTACATTTGATTGTTTAAACAGATTCAGATGTATTGTAAATGATGTAAAATGTATTAGTCTGACCAAATTAAAGGAGCATTAATTACAAAAAAATAAATAAATAAATACAATTTTAAAAAGTGTTTATTATTTAGTAATTAAAAACTATTCATTAATCCATTACAATTCAATATAAAATAATAACATATTACATTTATTCACTACTTATTTAATATTTCTAGTCATTTAAAATTGTATAAAAATAAGTTATATTTAAGAGTAAACATTTTTTGGTAAAATGTTAGATTGTTTAAAATTGTGGCCTATTTGAGTTAATCTGTTAAAGGTACATTAATAGGGCATTAATAATATTTAAAGATATATTATTGAGATTCATCAGGAGAGATGAGAATGTCATCTAAATAAACAAACACAAACTTATTTAACATGTCCCTTAGAACGTCATTGACCAGAGCCTGGAACACAGCAGGTGCATTAGTCAGGCCAAAAGGCATTACTAAATATTCATAGTGGCCACTAGGGGTGTTAAAGGCTGTCTTCCATTCATCCCCCTCCCTTATTCTAACCAAATGGTAAGCGTTTCTCAAGTCCAATTTGGTGAAAATCTTGGCCCCCTGCAACAACTCAAAAACCAGAAGAAATTAACGGGAGGGGGTACCTGTTCTTGATGGTGATGTCATTAAGTCCTCTGTAGTCAATGCATGGTCTGAGAGTCTTATCCTTTTTGTCAACAAAGAAAAATCCAGCGCCAGCAGGGGAAGAGGACGGGCGAATAATTCCAGCTTTAAGAGAAGTGGAGATGTAGTCGTCCATAGCTTGGTGTTCACGAGCTGACAGTGAGTAGAGGCGTCCCTTGGGCGGTGAGGTTCCTGGAAGGAGGTCAATAGCGCAGTCGTAGGAGCGGTGAGGTGGTAAAGAAGTAGCCTTAGCCTTGTTGAAGACCTCTTTCAATTCCATGTAACAATCAGGAACAGATGACAGATCTGGGAACTGTTGATCTGCCAGCGTCACAGAGGGAAAAACACAGATTCTTGCAGCTGGGACCCCACGAAACAATAGCACCCGTAGACCCAGTCTATGTGGGGGCTGTGCTGAGTAAGCCAGGGATAGCCAAGGATTAATGGGTGATGGGCAGATTCAAAAATGTGAAAATGCATCTGTTCAGAGTGAGAGTCAGGGAACTGAAGAGTAATGGGACTGGCCCACGCCCTCCTGCCGTAAGGACGTTCAGCGTTTCTTGGGCTTTGCCAATTTTTACCGCAAGTTTATAAAGAACTTCAGCTCCATTGCCGCACCCTTGCATGCACTTACCTCTTCTAAGTTTCAGTTCTCCTGGTCCACTCAAGCAGAAGAGTCCTTCCAAAAGTTGAAAACTTTGTTCACATCAGCGCCTGTGTTGACTCTTCCGGATCCCTCACGGCAGTTCGTGGTTGAGGTTGATGCATCGGATGTGGGCATTGGAGCAGTTTTGTCACAGAGGTCAGTCAGAGACAATAAGTTGCATCCCTGTGCATTTCTGTCCAAGAAACTTTCTTCTTCAGAGCGCAACTACGATATTGGGGGACCGAGAGCTTCTGGCTATAAAAGGTGGCATTGGAGGAGTGGAGACATCTACTGGAAGGGACTGAAACAACCTTTCCTTGTATGGACAGACCATAAGAACCTGGAATATCTCAAGTCAGCAAAAAGACTAAACCCAAGGCAAGCAAGGTGGGCACTTTTCTTTTCACGATTCAACTTTACTGTCTCTTATCGCCCTGGATCCAAGAATCTTAAGCCTGACTCTTTGTCGAGACTCTTTGTTCGAGGTATTCTCCCAGAGTCCAGCGCTCCTATTCTGCCGAGCTCCTGTTTTGTTCGCGCCATCTCTTGGAGCATTGAGAGCAGAGTCAGAGAGGCCTTGCGTAATGTTGAAGTTCCTCTGAACGTACCACCTAATCGTCTGTTTGTTCCCCTTGAGCTCCGAGGAGAGGTAATTGTGTGGGCACATTCCTCTCTCATCTCCTGCCATCCTGGTGTGCAAAGAACTCTATTCAGAGCCAGAGAGGGGTTTTGGTGGCCTAAAATGAAGAAAGACATAACAGAATTTGTTGCAGCCTGTGATGTGTGTTTGCCGCAACAAGTCCTCCACTTCACCTGCCTCTGGACTCCTGCACCCTCTGCCGGTACCTCGTCGCCCTTGGTCGGACATTTCTTTAGATTTTGTTACTGGATTGCCCAGCTCTGATGGTAATACCACTGTACTGACTGTTGTTGACAGATTTTCTAAAATGGTCAGATTCATTCCATTGCCTAAGCTGCCTACTGCCAAGGAGACAGCTGAGGCACTCCTAACCCACATCTGTCGAGTGTTTGGTTTTCCTAGGAATGTGCTTTCTGACCGGGGTCCACAGTTCATTGCCCAGTTCTGGAAAGCCTTCTGCCATCTTCTTGGAGCCACTGTGAGCCTGTCTTCTGGTCACCATCCCCAAACCAATGGACAGACTGAACGAGTGAATCAGGTTCTAGAGACGGGACTGCGCTGTCTTACCTCTCAGAATCCTTCCTCATGGAGTAAAGTGTTGGTATGGCTCGAATATGCTCACAATACTCTGCCTAATGCATCCACAGGGTTGTCCCCGTTCAAATGTGTTTTTTGGCTATCAGCCGCCTCTGTTCCCAGCCCTGGAACGAGAGGTTGATGTGCCCTCTGCCCAAGCTCTTATTCGTCGCTGCCGTCGCACTTGGTCAAGGGCTCGCCACGCACTGCTCCAGAGTTCGGACGTTTTATAAAAGAGCTGCTGATCGTAAGAGACGCGCTGCACCCACCTACCTGATTGGCCAGAAGGTTTGGCTGTCCACAAAGGACCTACCACTGAGGGTGGAGTCTCGCAAGTTGGCCCCATGCTTTGTTGGTCCATTCCCAGTATCCAAAGTGATAAATCCTGTAGCTGTGAGGTTACAACTTCCTAAGTCCATGCGTGTCCATCCTACCTTTCACGTCAGCCGCCTGAAGCCAGTCAAGGATAGCTCTTTGGTCCCTGCCACCAGACCCCCACGTCCCCCCCGGATCATGGATGGGGGGCCTGTCTACTCTGTTCGGCGGTTACTGGCTGTTCGCCGTAAGGGCAGGGTTTCCAGTATTTGGTCGACTGGGAGGGTTATGGTCCTGAGGAACGATCGTGGGTCTCTGCCAGTAATATTCTGGATCCGGACCTTATTAGTGACTTTTCACCGCCGCCACCCTCAGGATCCTGGGCCGTCGGGTGCCGGCCCATAGAGGGGGGGGTACTGTCATGTCCTGTCTGTTCCCTTTTATTTTGTTATTACTTATCCTGTTTTCTGTTGCAGATTTACTTCCTCCCTCTTGTGTTCCCGCCTTTGATTACTGCCCCGCCCTAATGTGCTGCACCTGTGTCCCATTAGCTCCCCTTTTTAGTCTGTGTCTTGTCTTCCCCCATTTGTCAGATTGTCTTTCTGTTCTATGGATGTTTCTATGTTTGTTGCAAGCCTTTTGGATTTATTAAAAACCCGTTTAATACTGCGTTGACTCTGGGTCTTTTGGAGCCAATCTTCACAACTACCTGACAAGATTGTTTAAAATTGTGGCCTATTTGAGTTAATCTGTTAAAGGTACATTAATAAATATTATAATTAAAATATATTATTTAAAAATAAAATAGATTAAATCACTAATAAATATGTACAATGTAAATTTAATTTCATTATTCCATATATCTGTTTACTTTATTTATTTTTTATTAATCAATTCTAGTTTTATACACATACATATAT